AGATCCCTGCTGGCGCTGAATCATGCTGACTTACCTGATGAGCACAGCCGACATTTGAGAAGCACTGGGAAGACACGAGACCTCCCTTGCATTTGGGATAATAAACCCACATCTTAATAGGGCTAATTAGCTATCAGCACTAAAGCTATTACTTTCAGTCTGCTGCTAGCTCAGGCATCGGAGTAACTCATGGTAAGAGAAATAGGGGAAGAGGTCGAAAAGGGCACAGCTCCAGCATCCTAAAGGACAAATCTGTATTTCTCAGCTCAGCAGGGTCAGGACCTGCTGTGTGGCTCAGCAGAGCAGTGACATGGCACGGTGTATATTCACACTGCCAAATACTCTTTCTTCCTCCTCAAAATAGGATTCTGGTGTTATTGCTTATTGGAAACAGAACTAATTCATGCTACCCCAAACGCTGTTTGTATGCTGTCCTGGAGATGGCTAATTGCTACGGGCCAAAACTGTGCCAGAGTTTGTGCCAATGATTACCGAACCAGAGGCTGTGCTTGAGCCTGTCATCTCCATTTATTGATTTCCTTTATGCAGATGTGGCCAAAGCGATAATATTTCTTAAAATTCTGTTTTAAAGACTGCCTTCGGTCTGAAGTTTGTGCATACGCATATGCATGTTTATAAATGAGGACGGGACGCCTTGCAATCTGGTGCAGTAACTGAGCGTGGGAAACCTGTCTATGTGCGTGCACATACACATCACCGATTACTCATCATTACTTATATTAAAGGATGGAGGATTCAGGCCAAAAATTGCTTTGTTTTTTAAATTTTCTTCCCCTTTTTTTATAGCATACTTTGCTAAGAAAAAGGGCACCTCAGATATTTTGCTATGTGGCCCTGGTGCTGGGTAAGTGCACTTAAGAATATTTCTTCTTTGAAAGCTTTCCATGTCTCAGTGCTTCTGTATTCACTCAGTCATACAAGACAAAAGCAGAAATTCTAGACTTTCCTTGAATGCAGAAACAGAAACACAGACAACAAAATATAGTAATAGTCAGATAATTTACTACTTGTAGGGAATGAAGCATGAACAAGAGGAAATGGGCTTAAGCTGCGCCAGGGGAGGTTTAGGTTGGAAATTAGGAAAAATTTCTTTACGGAAAGGGTGGTGAAGAATTGGAACAGGCTGCCCAGAGAGGTGGTGGAGTCCCCATCCCTGGAAGTGTTCAAAAAACGGGTAGATGTGGCACTTGGGGACATGGTTTAGTCTAGTCTGCCCTTAATTGGCTTAGAGTAGACTTGGTAGTGTAGGTTAATGGTTGGACTGGATGATCTTAAAGGTCTTTTCCAACCTAAACGATTCTATGATTCTATGAACCTGCAGTTGGCTTATTCAGGTCTAAGTTCCTTTGAGCCTTTCCAGAAGTGCTGCTTTTCTCTTCCCCATGGATGTACGAAAGAACTGAAAACATGAAGGATCTCAGATGTAGCACAGGACAGACACACTCCTCTCTGTAAAGGCTAATGAGTGTTAAACTGGGAAAACCAAACATGGATTTTGGAGGGCAGGTTTGGGTAAGCAGGGAGATGTGGCTGTTTTGCACCAAGGGGCGCGGGATGAGTATTGGTGATGAGGGCGTTGTCCTGGGTTGGTAGTCTACTCCAGCCTGTCTTCTTCGTTTGTTGCTGGGTTGTGGGTGCTGCTTTTTCCACCCTACTTTCCAGCCAATACTACCTGGAGTAGAAAATTGCCTTGCAATCTATAAAACACAGAGCTGAATAATAATCAGAACTCTCACATAAGCTGAAGTTTTCCTTGAAATCTGCACAGTAAAAGAGCTCCACTTTTTATTATTACTTCTAGGATCTGTCCTCCAGACTATAGATGCTTGCCAATTGGGCCAAATCCTGATTACGGTTTCACCAGTTTTGATACCTTTGGCTGGGCTTTTCTTTCCTTATTCCGCCTGATGACCCAGGACTACTGGGAGCGTCTGTACCAGCAGGTACCAGCTTTGTACATAGTTTAGAACTAGTCTTCCAGGGAGAGCAATAGGTGAAGCAGAAAACGTGTAGAGAGGATAAGAAACCTCAAATAAAAGCAATAGCTGCAAGTCATCGAGCCCAGATCCTCCCTTCTCCCTTCCAGCAAGCTATGACTCCTTGAAAAGGGATGCTGAAGTGCTTCCCAGCAGTAGACCCATCACCCCACTGGTTTAGGGACTTTAAAAAAAAAAAAAAGTACTAAAAAGATCCTGTATTGTCCTTCAAAAATATAAGAATACCTCCTCCACTGTCCTCATGGCGTGTACGATCAATTATTCATAGTCGATAGTATAGGAAAAGGGAGAAAGAGGGGGAAGAAGGGCCGAGGAAGGTATATTTCCATTTAAGCTTCCTAAAGCATTGCGTGTAGGAAGCTGAGTTCTTCTAAAGATTTCAGAGACACATTGAAAGCCTGTTTGGTATTTTTTTTATGGTAATTTTTATCTCTGGGGTGTGTTGCTTACAGACCCTCAGAGCTTCTGGGAAGGTGTACATACTCTTCTTCATGCTGGTCATCTTTCTGGGCTCATTTTATCTAGTCAACTTGATTCTGGCTGTAGTAACAATGGCATATGAAGACCAGAACAAAGCCACCATTGCTGAAACGGAGGCAAAGGAAAGGAAATTTCGGGAAGCCCTGGAATTATTACAGAAGGAGCAGGAGGTACGTAAATTATTCCCTTGCAAATGTTAGTCACAGTGCTCTGTTGTCAGCCACATGAGGAAAAGCATCACTCCTTGTATACAGCTGTATGTAGTAGTCACTCATGGAAACAGGAGCAAGTGATAACTTATTGAAAGTAGTGATTCCTAGAGCTACAGGAGCAATTCCTGGTTCAGCTGTGTATTTTTCCTGTGAAAAAATGAATTTTGTTTTAGATAATCAGCATTAAAGGCTGCTGTTACTGTTAGAAAAATAGTATTTTGAATCTGGAAAACGTAAAATTCCATCAGCTAGCTGTTTCCAAAAGAAAATGTAGTTGTTTTTTAATTTTTCTTCTATTTTATCATTGTGGACTGCTGAGCAGAGAAATATACAGTAATTCCATTGATCAACTGCATTAACAACTGAGCCAAAACCTATTGTAGTTGAATGAAAAGTGTCTTGGTACCTTAAATGGCTTAGAAGCTTCTGGAACAAAACACTCCTGTATTTTGAAAACGTTGCCCTAAATTCAGCATGGGAAGGAAGGTCAGCCACAGTGTGAATACAATCCCATGGATCCCCGATGAAAAAATAGAATTTTAATACTGTTTGAGAATTTATTTTGGGAAAAAGATATATTCTACAGCATTATTTTCAGCCTGAGTATTTTTATTGCCAGCAAATCTGCCATATGGAGGAATAGGAGCTATAATATTATTTTGCCCCTGGCAGGTCCAATACATGCGATCATGTAACATACTGCAAATAGCAAATTTTTCAGTGCTCCATATGTTGGGGAAATTCTCTCCTCTTTCTTTTAGTGTTATCACATACTGGAAGATTTTTAATGAGTTTTGTGAAACGCAAATTGTTAAGAGGAAATAATATAGAGCACAGAAGTATTTTCTTTCTGCTTATGTTCCAAGTACCCAGCAAAAATATCATCCATGTTTTTGTTTTAATTTCAGTCATTGGCTATGAAAGGAATTGATATCCTCTCAGTTGGCTCCTTTGAAGCCTCTTCTCTGTCTACCAAAGAAATCAAAGAAAGAAGCAACAGGAAAAAGAGAAATAAGTCCTTGGGGATAGAAGATAACGAAGAACAACAATTCCCCAAGTCACAGTCCACAGAAAATCAACGAAAGTTGGTAATCTATTGTCTGAATCTGAGATCCTTACAGCTTTTCTAATTTTAATACTAAAATAAATTGTTTGAAAGCACAAACCAGATCCTATTACAAACACTGATCACTCTTAAGTTTTTATTTTAGCAACTTTTTGGGATAAGGAAGAATTATATGTAAAATTTCATTTGAAAAGGACATATTATGAACAAAGGATGGAAGGAAAGTTATAATAACAATTCAAATACATTTTCTGTAATACTGAGGACTGTAAAATAGTGAATGACTATCAGAATTTAACTTTTGTGCCATCTTTCTCTGTTAAAAAAAAAAAAAAAATCTTACCTAAAATATAAATATGAAGCTTATCACAAAAATAGCTGCTACAGCTGGTAGGATTTTATTATCTGCCTTTTAAAATCTGAGCAAAATCCTTCCTGAAAAATCTAAATTAAATAACAATTTTGGACTTGGCAAGGTTGATAGGAAATGTTATGAAACTCTAAAAATGTATGGCTTCCCAAAATCTTTGTGATATTATGGCATTCTCTCTTTATTCCTTTTACTGGGCTTTTAGTCTTTCCTTGGTCTGGTGTACAGTCCCAACGCAAATCAGGTGAAACGCAGACTTAGCCATGGAAGTGTGTTCAATTTCCAAATACCTGCTTTAGAAGTTGATTCCACAATGGATTTTGGTGATGAGGAGACCCGCAGCGCTGGGGAACAGGAAATCCGGTGTCCATCACTGTTGGTCACACAGATGGGAAGACGCTCTAGCATGCAAAGTCAAATGAGCCACAGCTCTCACCTGGCTACCCCGAACTGCGTGCAGAGCAGCAAGGGGGCTAATGTGGACGACTGCAATGGGGTGATTTCAGTGATGGGAGGAGGAAGCAGCAGGGTGCACAGTCTAGATCCAGTGTCTTCTGAAGGAGTAACGCTTCCACCTGTAATGGAAGACCCAGGAAAGGGTGATCTGGTAAGTAAAAAAATTATTTTAAGTATATACTTTAATACTCTGATGAGTTCCCAAAACCTAGAGTTCATTGCTTCAGCAATCATGTTATAAACCCTATTTTTCTGCTTCGTACAACTTGTACTAACAAACTTTTGAAGATTCCTAGTGCTGGAATCACAAGTCACCGAAGAGTCTTTTTATCCCATGCCATGTCCAGGGGGGTAATTTTGAACAGTACCTATAATTGCTTTCTCCTTCACAGTGCCTTTAGCATCATGCAGAAGCTTTGTCTGTAAGTTGCCCGGGTAGGTAAAGATGTTTTTCTACCTGTTTATCCCTCATCTCTCTCCTTTTCCATAGTCTCTGGAATATTTCCTAGGCCTATTTCCCCTCATACATTTATTTCCAAGGTTTATGCTTGCCCTCTTGCTATTACGTGCTTGCAGGATCCACTTACTGCAGCATTATTACTGAAAAGTAGGACCTTCATTCTCAACATCTATTACATCTTGTAAAAAGGTACATTTATTTGGCTGCGTGTCATTGTTCCTATTAACCCTCATAGTTACCCATCATCACATCCTATTTTATTCCTGTGGTATCTCCCTAATCATGTTTACTTCTTTAAGCAGCCAGCTGTAAATGATGAGAGCAGCATGATGCATTTGCCTCCTCATCTGTCAGTGGAGTACTTTAACGAGGCACTTCACAGACAAAGGGCAGCAAGTGTAGTCAGCATAATTACCAGTGTCTTGGAGGGTAAGTGGTTCCTCATTATGCTTATTTCTATCCTAAGGTAATGCTAGCATGAAAGGCCAAAATGTCAATACGTTTCTTAAAGGTTAACAGAGATTTGTAGGTGTGTAGTTCAGCATTTCATTATTAAATTGGCTCTTTTTTAAAAATAATGTATTATCACACAGTCTTTATGTGCCGGAATGTATCCTTTGCCTATTGTAAGATCTTGTTTTGCAGGATAGACAGTGAAAGCGATTGGAATGAGGGTGGGTGGAAGGAGTTTTTCCAGCATCTGAGGTGTGGGACTGGGATACTATCTTCTCCTGACCCTGTGATTGGCGATGTGTCACTGGCAGAGACATAGGCAGGCAGAATCTAACAATAAGCTTATGCAAGCAAAATCAGTTGTGGCAATTTCTGGGTTTTGAATACTTAACCTCACTATTTTATTCCTTCAACTTACCTTTCCATGTGAATTTTTTGCGGGGGTTCATCACTGACTGTTATTATGCTGACTGATAGTTTCGTTGCAATTTCTGAAAATTTTCAGCCCAAATTGTTTAATTGTTTTCTGGACCAGGAGACCAGGATGAGGAAGACCTTTTTTTTTGTTTTATTTTATTTTTTCATCAGCTCATCTGATCTTTGAAAAATATTCAGGTCCCCAGAAACCAGATTACTAATAGTTCCTACTATGCTTTTATTTAACTTTAAGTAAGCTCCAGTTTGTCAGTGAAATTGCACAGGACTTCAGCAGGGTCAAAAGTATTTTGGAGGACGCGCTAATATTGATGGTGAAGAAAGAAAGGCTGTAAGATTTATATTTGACCAACAAGATGTAAATGACAAAGCCAGAACAGCTTCTATCCTATGTTCACCTATAGAAAATGGAGAGGTGTGGCAACTTGCATCAGCTGGGAAATGGTAGGCATGACCTTTCCAGGAGAAGTGGCCTAAGTCCAAATTTCAGGGACTGTGGTTTGGATTTGCCTCAACTACAATCAGAATGCCTGTGGCTGCCCTTGGCTCTCTAGACTCCCTTGGCTCTCTAGACTCCCTTGAGAGTCAAAGAGATAAAAAGATGTTGGGTGTGATAGAGCCAATGTCCTAGACATCTAGGTAAGGATAAGATGAAAAGTGCCTTAGCTGCTGTATTGACTATCAAGAGCTTCTAGCGTGAGAGGCTGAGGTGTGGCCTCTGCATCGTAAACATCCGTATTTAGTCAAATGATTGTAGTACAAGTCTGGGTCTGAGACAAATAAAACCTGCTCTAAAGGCTTTTGAAGTAAGTTCACATGAATGAATTTTGAACCCAATTTTCTCTGAATTTTATCTTCCTGTTTATTAGCTGATGTAGGGACTACACGAATGTTAGAAAGCACAGGAAAGCTTTGGGGCTCTGTGTGAGATGTGAGGTTTCCTTTTTCTTCTTTGGTCTTCTGAATACTTGAAGTTGTTATTTCACCATCTTGCTCAGTGATAACTATTTAATTATAGTGGGGTTTTCTTTTGCGTTTAGAACTTGAAGAATCTCAGCGGAGATGCCCACCATGCCTGAATGATTTTGCTTTAAAGTATCTAATCTGGGACTGTTGTCCGCTTTGGTTGAGAATCAAGAAAAAAGTGGCTGCTTTCATAAAGGATCCTTTTATTGATCTCACCATCACTGTTTGCATTGTGATGAACACTTTGTTCATGGCACTGGAGCACGATAATATGACAGATAATTTTAAATTGATGCTTAATGTAGGCAACTTGGTAAGCAAATTCTCAGCTATGTGACATTTTATACCAAGGATTGATTGACAGGTGTTTTCACTTGAGACATAAAGAGTCACTGTAAAAATTAAAGATTAGCAAATTCTGCATTTATAAACTCTAAATTTATAATACAGTCAATTCCCAGATTTTATTGATACACTTCTAACACGTTCCTGAGAAGGCAGAAAACAATCTTCCCATTTTAATTGAAATTGCATTAGAAGTTCATAAAAATGGGTTTTGTTGACCTGTTCATGAATGTTTTTGTGGGAACATGATCTAAAGATGAGATAAATTTATGGCTACTTTTAGGCTGATGCTACTACTCTTTCTTTGTCACAGGTTTTTACAGGAATCTTCACTGCAGAAATGATCTTAAAAATCATTGCTCTAGATCCCTATTATTATTTTCAGCAACACTGGAATATTTTTGACAGTATAATTGTCACATTGAGTTTAATTGAACTGAGTTTGCCCAAACACAAAAGCAAGAAAGAAAGGCGAAAAGGAGGAACCCTGTCAGTTTTACGATCCTTCAGACTGGTAATGCCTCATGTTTACTCAGTTGTATTAAACATTATGTTGTGAATATGATAGAAAATACTTCTGTTGTCTGCAGTTCAGATACAGGAAATGATTGGCTTTTTTTAATTATTTTTTTTTCCCCTCCTCTTGGCACGAGGAATAACAAACATACTCTTAAAGTCCTTGTGATGTTAGAGACAGAGCTTAATGACATATGTATTTCTTTTGAATACACTAAGAAATATTCAGAGGAAAAAATATTCCTGAGTAGACGGGTTATAAAACTGGTGTCAAAAATTAAAAACTAGCACAAGAAACTTATGAAGAAAGTGTCACAGTACAAATACAGAAAAAACAATACTTAAAAATAGATGTTAAAAAAGAAAGAAAAATCTATAATTACTTTTTAAAATGTATTAGTGTCACAAATATTACATTGCTGGAATAGTTCAAAATATCTGTAAAATGTTTTTTGCAGGATTTGAACGGGTCAAAGATGGGTTATCTCTACCGATGTCTAACACTATGTTTTATGTTTCTACACAGCTGAGGGTCTTCAAACTGGCAAAGTCCTGGCCAACTTTAAACACTCTAATTAAAATAATTGGTAACTCACTGGGCGCACTGAGTAACCTGACCCTTGTCCTGGCAATCATCGTTTTCATTTTTGCTATAGTAGGGGTGCAACTTTTTGGGAGAAGCTATGGAGAGAACAGCCATAAAATAAACAAAGATGGCAAGCCACGCTGGCACATGATGGACTTTTTCCACTCATTCCTTGTCATTTTCCGAATTCTGTGTGGAGAATGGATTGAGACCATGTGGGACTGCATGGTGGTCGCTGAACAACCACTGTGCCTTCTCGTCTTTCTGCTGGTCATGGTGATAGGAAATTTAGTAGTGAGTTTTCCAATATTTTCTCCTCTTTATCCTGTGAATGGTAAAATCTACTTAATTGCCATTTTGTCAACAAAAGGTAGTTCCCCTAAACACAGCTGGAAGAGTTACCTGTGTGTTTTATAGGCTGCAAAAGCCTCTTTTGCCTCTCACCTTTGAGCTGCTGTCCATATTTTCACATTTTATGTGCTTTGCATACAGCATCACTTGACCTTTTTATGTGGCAATGTGACAAAGAATATCTTTACAGTAAATATAATACAGGCAACTGTATTTCTTCATGTCTTGGGATTTGGAAGTAAATAATCAGTAAGGCTTATGGCCTACCTGCTTGAATTAATGAAGCAGAGTGCTTAAGTCCCTTTGTAAATCATGGGGTTTTTTAATTTTTTTTTTTTTTTTAAGATCTCATGCAAGTATTGAAATCTTTATCAGCAAATGGCAGAATCTACACTCTTATCACTGAAATCAGGATTTTCTTTAATCATGTCTAAGTACGTTTATACCCAAGAGCTAGATCCTTCTATGGCATACCCTACACAGCCTCGCACACCCATGTTGGGGCGTAAGGGGAAGGCTGCTTTCCCGATCCTCTTCCATCGTTTCTGCCCAAATAATAAAAATCTTTTTTTAGTAGCTTAGTTTCTCATGTCATTCTTGGTATCATTCATATACCAATCTTCCCTTAATTTAAGAAACTGCTGAAAAGAACTAAGTTTAGGCAGTCCTTTATGGGAAATATCTGTTCTGTGGCTGAATCCCAAATCCCTGGGTTTAAAGTCCTGCTTGATTGATTTCAGTGATGAAATGCTGTGATATTCATATCGCATAATGTCAAGTGTCAAACAACGAAGTGCTTAGCCTACGATCCTTGTTTAGGTTTTCTTATTATCAAAGGAAAGCGAGAGGTATCAGAGAGTGAGATTTATCCCAACCCGAGGTCAGTAACTAAGACAGATGGGATGAATTGGTCTCTGGAGGGGTAATGTTCTCCACCGACTGTGGTCCCTGGATGACTCGGGGGTGCTATCTGCCCAGTTCTGACATGATAAAAATCAAGATACATAGGTCCTACCCCAAACTGAAACATTAGGAAACTAATTAAATTCTCCCATTCCCCTAAATAAAAATGTGGGGTTTATAAATTCTTCTATATAAATGTACTCAAAAGCAGGGAGGAAACCTCACTTCGAGCTTCTCTTGGTTTTGATTTGTTCTGACAGTGTTGTGGATTTGATGGAATTGCTGGGCCTGAATATGATTCTCACAGGATTTTGGATGTAGCACCACAGAGGCCTGGTTTAATTCTAGTTTGAGGAAGGAAGAGACATTATTAAACTGACAAGCCATAACCATAACCTTTGTTACTACTATAACCTTCAAAAAGATTTTTTGGCCAAATAACACATTTGGCATACACAGAGCTGTTTTAGCTACTATTTTAAATAATGTTTTGGGGGGAAAAGGGTCATGGGAACACTGGATTTTCTGAGAGAGAAGTTTACTCCATCAACCATAATATGATCATAGTCACTTCATTATTACCTTGTTTTGGTTTGCTCAGTAAGACTGAACTTTGATACTGTGTTCTTCAAAGTTAGAATTTAGTTTTCTGAATGTTACTCTCCTGACTTTTAATTTTATTATTATTTCAATGACTTTCAGGTTCTCAACCTTTTCATTGCACTACTGCTGAATTCCTTCAGTACCGACTGTCTCCAGACAGCAGAGGATGACAGAGAGATGAACAATCTTCGGATTGCCTTTGCTCGGATTCACAAAGGATTTCACTTTGTGAAGAGTGTTACATGGGATACCTGTTGTAAAAAGCTCAGGCATCTAAAGAAAGCACACAGGAAGAAAATCAAATTGACTGCACAGAACCCACCTGGGCTCAAGCATGAAGAAATAAAAAATTGTAAAGAGAATTACAATAATGAATGGACTGCAAAAAATGGGGACAGATGCTCAGGTCTTGAGGATTTTATTACCAACCCCAATGTATTTGTTTGTGTCCCTATTGCTGAGGCAGAGAATACAAGTGAGGGTTTTGAAGATGATGATAAGCTGAGCACATTTACAGACATAGAATACAGCAAACAGGTAATAAATTTCTTTTATTTTTGTTGGTACAGTCGAATCATGTTTATATTGAGGGTTGCATGTATGGTAGAAGACTGTCTCTAGCAGAACAGGGTGGCATACATTGATCCATTTCCAGAGAGTTACCAAATTTTGAACTAGAAACAAAAGTACGAATGTTTGGAGTGAGGGTAAATTATCACTTGGAGGCTTTTAGAAAGCAAGAGTCTTTCATGGTTGTAAAAGAAAGACCATAAATTGTTGGGGTTTTTTTGCAGGAATTCCTAGCTGACACGTGTTATGCACAGGTAATTTCATAGCCCATAGATTGTCTATAGGTAATTGTGGCAGTTCTTTGTGAACTTGGACTTTATTAAGTAAAAATTTATGTAAATACTGCCAACTATCTTGGCATCATTCCATGAGAGAAGAAAAAAAAAAAGAAGTTCTGCCTAACGAACATTATTATGGATTCATAATACGAATTTATAGCTCTGGTCCATTTTTGTATTTGCCCTTCTCGTGTGTAGTATGTAGTAATTATTAGAACAAGATAAGAGTAGCTCTGTTAAGGTCATGTTTCTTATATGATAACGTATGTTATCCTATTTCATTGTTTTCTCTGAATTTTTCAGTTCTATTTTAACCATAGGAGACTGCCATTCTGGTCTCAAGATTTCCCACCTTAAGTTGCCATCTTAATACGTATACAAAAATTCTCACTTAACTTTTGACCAGTTCACTAAAATACTAATTCCTTAATTTGCTGCATGTCTGTTGGGAAAAATTTCCCTTTCTCTAACCTTAGATAAAATCAGGGACTCAAAATGATCATATCTTATGACTTTTGTCTGGACAGTCCCACCTGAAATGAAATGCATATCTTATCTTTCTTTCCCTCCCAACTTGTCCACACCATAAAAAGGGAAAAGAAATCCCCTCTAATCCACAGATTATTTTCAGGGTGAAAATAACCTGAGGCAAAGGGGAGAAAGAAACAGCTGGAGTAAAGGATCGGGATTTTCCTCTGAAGAATTCAGTGTGCTTTACCTAGGAAAGGATAGAAAGCTTGAACTGTCATCGCCAGAACAAAAAGAGGTAACAATTTTTTTTCTATGGCATTGATTTTCCTATAGTGGTCACGCACAGATATGTTTCTGTTCAAGGATTTGCTGGAGTGGAGTTTAGTGACAGCAGTGGCTCTGAGCTTGCAGTAGCCAGTCTGGCTGATTAATAACAGAGCCAGAATTCTGTGAATGAAATCGAAACCATGCTGGGTTTCTAGGTGTTGATTTTTAAGAAAAATGTATGTATAGGAAAAAGAGTGGTTAGAAATGGGAAAAACTACAAAATAATTTGATTCAAATAGATAACTTATAAAAGTCTCTCTGCTACTTTCCATTTATTGAAATCTGAGTCCACAAAAAAAGGAGAGGAGGAAAAAAGAAAAAAAAAGACATTAAAAGAGAGATACAATTCCAAGTGGGAAATTCCAGCAAGTTTGCCTGTGTCCTAAATACCTCAGTTTCAAGAAACATAATACTTTAAATGAGTTTCTCACTGTGACATTAAAGATAGTAGTTATTAATTAAAAATATTTTAGAATTATTTTGAATAAAGAATATATTTTAAAAAGTAACAAAGCACTGCACAAACATAAAGGAACAAAAACGTGGAATAAGTAATTTGCAATAAACTGCTGACTCATCATACATTATATATATAGTGTGATGGGATAGTGAAAAGCTTTGTAACTGGAGAATATGTGATAAGATTCCAGTTTCTGCTTCATAAATACTGTCATGGTTGTTTTGGTTCCTATTACAATAGCAGATACCTTTAGCTGGTTCTCCTGTCTGAATGCATTTTCCTATGATTTCATGGTTTTAACCCAAGTAGTTTATTCTGCTTTGAGGACTACATATACTGATAAGCAATTTATAAGCTCTTCAGTTTACCAGCTTATTAGGCAGTTAAATCTGGTTCATGTAGATCGATATTGTAATTATACAGCTTTGGCCCCTATTTGAATGCACCTATTGGTACTTCTAAACTCATGTACTTTTAAAATCACAAAGTTTGTTCCATTACCAACAGTACCTGAAATATTAGTACATAGCCAAATTTTTATTTTGAATGTTATTTGTTCATGGATGAACTTATTCACTTGGAGCTGAATGTAGAAAGGATCAACACCTGATCTTATTTTGCACGGTAGTTTGACAGTGTCAGCCCTTCTGAAGGCAGCACAGTGGATCTGACAAATCCCGAAGATCTCTTGAGGCAACTTCCAGAGTTTGCTGAAGACTTCAAGACTCCAGAAAAATGTTTTCCAGAAGGTAAGGCTCTCAAGGTTTCACTACTGGGAAGTGAGAAGAGTCAAAACCAGACTTGTTTATCTAGTGATGCTGAGCCAATAGGATGAGGTTATTTTCAGTTCATTTCAGTTATCTGGAAATTGGATAAATAGTTCAAATCATTGTCTAGTCAACAGAGAGATCGTGGCACCTGAAAAATAAAGCCCCTTTCTTTTAAAGCCAATTGCTTCTAACAGGGACCTGGGCAATGGCATAGACCTAATCCCCAAAAATGGGATGATTACAGTGAAATGAGATGAATTTCACTCTATTGGACAGCATCAAAGTCACTTTTGGAGTTTAACATAAGAGAATTGTATGGGATCAGATCTCACCTCACAACGGCCACTGGAACAAGGCACTTGGCACATCAGATTTGTTAATACTTTGCAACAATATAAATGTTTATTCCTTGAAGAGTGTTTCAGTAACAATCTCTGCAACAAACAATGGAGTCAAATAAGCAAAGAGAAGCTGCTAGGATGAAGTTCAATTTCTGTAGGGTGATAATCTGGGATCCCTTCTCAAATCATCGTACAACATCTAGCTTCTCAAGTAGTTACAGTCTGTGCTGAGTACTTTTATGAATTTGTCTTATGCTAATGTGTAACAACATGTGGTTTTCATAATATGCAAAGAAATAGCTTTTGAGATTTTTCTCAAACAAGTGTCACTATTGACAGCCAGGGGCAATCACTGCACTCTCAGTATTAGTTGTGAGAGAGCAAACTACATGAAGGCAGTTTATAGGCTCATTTCTTCCAAGTGTGTTACATTAAATGAATTATAACTGTGGCAAAAGTCTTTCTGGTGCTCCAACTTGCTCCTTGCTCACCCAGTCAGCCTGGCTGACCACCACCATTTCCACCCATTCCCCGAGTTTTCTTTGATTCTGTTGTTTTCTGCCCATTCAAGCTTCTGTGTACCACAAAATGACTTCTCCAGCCTTACATCGGTGGAGCCCAGCAGCAGGTCCCACAGCTCTCTGAGCTTGCTTTCCTCCTCCGCGTTCAAAGGCAGAGCCTTTCTCTCGTCGCCGCCTTCCCATTCAAGCACTGCTTCCTGGATATTTTATCTGATGAAATAAAATCTGGCTGTAATTACTCCCATCCCCTCATTGCCCTGTTCTGCAGAGCTGACCTTTTTTTTTTTTTTCTTGTGCCCTTTTTGGGTCAATGAAACTTCTAATGCACAATTTTAGGATTGAATCAATAACAGCGAAGCATGTAGAAATTATTTGAAGCTAGAGAGGTGTTGCACCTGAATGCAAACTATTCTCTGTGTAGTATAATATGTGTGTGTATATATATATAACTATTATGTTACACATCATAAATCCTAAGAGACATCCACTGTACCTACATCTCAGTTTGCTTTCTCCAGAAAAAAACCTCAAATATTGCATTAATAGTACGTATGTCAGATTTCTGAGCTATAGGTTTTTTTCAAAACTACTTTACTGATGGCTTTTTTTTCCAGTGCAGCCATTAGAACAAAAGAAATAAAGAATTTTCTCACCCTGCTTCAGAGAAGAAATGTGAAATGTCTTGTTTTGTGCTCTGTAGTCCCAGGTTGCAGTGTGCCTGCTGTGGCCAAACCATTAGAGAACTCAAAAAAGGTGCAGCAAATCTGTTGCAGATTTCTGAACAAAAAAATGTCCCTATCTTGTGCAAGTGTCATTCCCTGCCTCATCTCAAATCCCAGATCCACGTTACTGGGGAAATTTGGGGTATTGAAAGAAAGATCATTAAAAATTTTTGCATATATTATATCCTATTGTTTATATATGAGTTATATGTGATACTATATAATATGTGTATAAGATATGCAGATAACACATACATACATTCTTTTTTTCATGCTTGGAAATGACAGAATCCTTTCATTTCCATTTTTCACAATAATGAAAACATGAATTAGCCTCAAGCACACAGCAAGGAAAATGTTAGTGTAAGTGAGTTAATTCTTGGCAAAATTAATAAGTAATCAAATCCAGGATTTTGTAATGGGGTGGTCAGGAAATGTTAGGTGGCCCTGGCATCGTTGTCTCATAAGATGTAATCTGGTGAGCTTGAAAGGAGATGCCTCCTTTTAGGGAGCCTGTATGTCAGGTAGAATATGACATACTCTTGCAGGTTATACGATATAAAATCAGTCACGCCATACATTCAGAAGCAAAGAAATAAATTAATAGACCTTGCAAGGCAGGGTATAATGCTGCAATATTGAAGACAACTGCTTACTTTCTCTGTCTCCGAGCGTCTTTGTTCCAGGGTATCTCGCCTCTACTTTCCAAACAGTGTGTAGGAACTGAGAAAGGCTTTTGTAACGTAAAAGCTCTTCCCATGGCCCTGAAGTTTTGGGTGCCCAAACAGCAGGTCACCGAAAGGGCTGCCAGCATCTCAGAAATATATAGAAACAATGGAAAATTGTCCAAAAGCATGCCGCTGCCTTTATGTGTATGTAAATATGAGTTAAAAGGCAAACAAAATTAGATGTTTCCTTTTTTTTTTCCTTCTCATGGCAAAACGTGAAAAAAACCCAGACAATGATGCAGTTAATGTGACCATGGACTTTCCCCTGTCAGTAGAAATTTCTTGAGCAACCCTTCACATGCATGTACGTTCATTACATACATTCATTGCTGTCTCTCGCTTTCAGGTTGTGTTCGATACTTTCATTGTTATGTGGGTAGTCCCTTAAAGTTTGGAGGAGAAACGTGGTGGAATCTGAGAAAAACCTGCTACCAGATTGTTGAACACACCTGGTTTGAATCCTTTATCATATTCATGATTCTTCTGAGCAGTGGAGCCCTGGTTAGTGTAGCATAATTTCATGTATTTATTTAGAAGCACTTTTAGCTTTACTTTGCACCCAGAGAAGTTGTCTTTAGTGGAAAACACAGCAAATACCTTTAAACTCATCAGGAGAAAAAAGAAGAGTCTACACATAGCAGTCATTTATTCACTACTGCAATTACTGCAAAGTTAATATTTATGTGGTTATAAATTATGAGATAGAGTGAGCAACGCCAAAAAGATATAGCTCTCAGAAACTGTTTCTATTCTGGCTGCATACTGGATTCTTCTGGCTTTCTCTGGAAGTTATTTCAGAGTTGTGGAGATTTTTTTAATGTCATTAAAACAAATAAATTACTCTTAATCCTTGAAAAAATAGTACTTGGTTCTCTTGAAAGTATATTTTTAGAAATTCATTTCAAGAAGTTTATACTTTTCTCAGAGTGCATGATGTGTGTGTCCACAAGGTGTACTACTTAGAGAAAAGAAAGAGAAGGGACAGGGAGAATTACAAGTTTATCAGATGACATAGATTTGAGTAGAAGATGGGGTTTAAATCTGTGTAAAACAGGAATGATGAAGGGGTCTTAATGATTCTAGACTTTCATTTTATAAAGCTCATCTCTAACTTTTGCCATTTATCTACGTATTATGATTTCAGGCATTTGAAGACATCCATATAAATGAGAGACAAAACATTAAACTTATGTTGATGTTTCTTGATAAAATGTTCACTTTCATCTTTGTTCTGGAGATGCTTCTGAAATGGGTGGCTTACGGCTTCAAGAAATATTTCACCAGTGCCTGGTGCTGGCTGGACTTCCTTATTGTAGCTGTAAGTTCTGCCTTTGGCATTTCTATGTGCATCCCAACACAGGATGCGCTACCAGAATCACTGACTGTTTTCTGGGTGTGAAGCTAAGGCAGTACTCTTACATCCTTTAATGACGGTTTCAGGCTATTGCACTCTGGGCACTGAAAATATGGGGAGATTTGGAGGGTTTCTTTGGTTGTGCTGGGTTTTTTTGTTTGGTTGGTTTTTAAAACAGGAATAAAGGAGACAGATGCCAGGACATTGGTAATACTTTCTCTTGTCTTCCAATTCAGGTCTCTTTAATAAACCTCTTAGGCAGCTCATTTGGCCCCATGAAATCTCTTAGGACTCTCCGAGCTCTGAGACCCTTAAGAGCACTGTCACGATTTGAGGGGATGAGGGTAAGGCTGAATACAAATTAAACCCTGTCAGTACTAATTAACATGTAACAGGTTCGTAACTCATGACTCTGTCTCTATGAAGTTCATTTGTCTACCCAAGTTCAGTTTAGGACCTATAAAATGAATTTTTGAAAGGCACCTTTGCTGCGCTCCCCTGTACTTGGCTGCTCCTTACAGTCTTTCCTCAACTGATCAATCCTAAGTGCCGTTGGAACTAAAACTAGACTATGCAGAACTTTGTTCCATTGCTGGTCAGTCGTTCTTGTGTTCCTGTCTTAATGAGATAGCCAAATTAAAATAGAGAATAAGAACTGTGAGCACAATTCTTATTTTTGAAGTCTGATGGTAAGCTAATTCAGAGGAAAGAATCACCTCCATTCTGTGAGCTTTTACTGGATTGATTTACAAAAACTTTAGACTGTTAAGAGGTACTTTTCTCAAATTATTGTTCCAAATAGACTTATTCTTTCAAAAAGCAGAAGTGTTTGCCTGTAGAATATTTGCTGCCTTTTTGCATCAAAGGAGCACATGGAACAATGTGAAGCTGCTGGACATTAATTACATTTAATTACAAATCTAACATTGTGCAAATGTAGAGAAAGATTCCCTCAGCCATATGCAAAACACATCCGTACACCACAATGTGAGACAGTGTGATAACCACAGTGGTATTTGGGAAAAAATCTGGTCTATGGCATATACCCTGGCATGTGAAAACAGTTGTTAGAAATACATATGGCATCACTGTCATGCCTTTACATGGGAATGCAGCCTCTATGCAGCTGAGATATAAATTGCTTTTGGATATCTTCTGGAAGCGAGACTGTAAGCTCTCTGATTGCAATATTGTCACTGTGAAGGCAGAGAGAAATTGCTTTAAATTAATTAACAGAATGTATCAAAATTTCCATGTCTGGGGTCAATTTTGAAACAGGCACCATCATACTTTCTGTCTTGCTATGCAGAATATGTATGACATAGTCTCCAAAAACCTTCACAAAGCTTTTTCACTTTTCCTCTGGTCCATCAAGTTCCTCTTTGCTACCTGACTGCTGAGTTCATTGCCTTCACTGTGAAACTCAAAGATATATTCTCATAGTTTCTTTACACTGCCCCATTTTATGAAGCAATCTGTAAAGTCTTAGCATGAACTTAAAACCTACATGGACATTTTCTGTGATTACACAGCACCTAGCACAGAAAAAGTACCTAGCTCATGGTTATAGACCTCAAACACAATCATAATCCACTAAAAATAATAGATCTAGCAAAATACTAGTGGAGAGAGATTAGTGGTCCTTCTAAAATCTGCTTTCTACAATCTTAATAACACAGTCTTCTGCACTAGTGCTTATAGATTAATAATTTAGAAATTTTATGTTATAATAGTTTAAAACTAACAAGCAAAACATCCCCCACTCCAAAACTAATGGAAAATCATTAAAATAGGATGGACTCACCTTGTAGCATACTTACATGGTAGTGGCTCACAGCAGCCCAAAAAGTATCAACTGTTCCTTTGAAAGAGACACTATGGATGTTTGAATCTTTGTTCAATGTACCCATGCCAGCTGTGACTCGTATTTACAGGGAAAAAATTAAGTTTCTGTTTGCTGAGATGACTAAGTGACTGCTTATTGCACTGAGCAAATGCTTGAGCCTGTCTTTGTTTAAGTGTATTTTTCCTCTCTCATTTCACCCAAGGTGGTTGTCAATGCCCTCTTGGGAGCCATCCCTTCCATCATGAATGTTCTGCTCGTCTGCCTCATCTTCTGGCTCATCTTTAGCATCATGGGAGTGAACCTCTTTGCTGGGAAGTTTGGGAAATGTGTTAATCTGACAGAAGAAGATTCAGAATTAAATAGTTCGATCAATGACATAAAAGACTGTAGAATGTATAATAACACAGGAAAAATATTCTGGGTCAATGTTAAAGTCAACTTTGACAATGTTGGCTCTGGCTACCTTGCTCTTCTTCAGGTGGTAAGTGCTGCTTGCCTTCACTAGCCAGCACCATCAGATGGGCTTGACCTCCTGACAACTCATCTCTGTGGGTGATGGAAAAGAGTGGGATCATACAGCCTGCTCTTCCCTTGCTGGCTGCTCAAACACCAGTGCTGTTCTTGCACACAAATGGAAAAAGGGAGATAAATTAGACCCTGCTGTGATTTTCCAGATGATGAAGTAAGCATCTGGTGGACAAGTGCTCTTTCAGCCTCCAGCAGGTTCATGAGCCTGAGAGCTGGAGTCAATCTCAGAAAGAAATCTGGGGCAAATACTGACCTAATCTGCCAAAATACAGATTTGTGCAGCCATGGGGGTTGTGAGGCCTTTAGTAGACCATGCTAATGAAAGTTTCCTGTTGGCATCCTAGGACAACATGTTCTGTCCCACCCTAACAAGATTTCACATCCTGATAAGGCTGAGGATGCCACACATAGAGCAGGGGCAAGTTTCCCTAAAGTCAGAGCCTGGTGCTTTGGTGTGTGACTATACCAAAGGCTCTTACTCTAGTCCGTGTCATTTGGATATTGCAAATGATGTGAAGACTTTTACCCTGAAAGTTCAACATGTTTTCCATAATCTCTCATTCTAGGCAACGTTTAAAGGTTGGATGGACATCATGTATGCAGCAGTAGATTCACGAGAGGTCAGTCACTATATTCAAACTATATTTTCTGTTAATGCTACTGCTTTCTGCAAAAGCATTATGATTTTTGCATCTTTACATCTGCTGTTTGTCTGTGCTAAATCTTTCTAGTAATTATTTTTATCAGCTGATGTAAACATTTCATCTGCGAATGACTCATAGTATCCTAAAGTTAATCTGTTGTAATGGGGAGTGGGATTCAACTCCAGACCTGCCCACCTAAATGCAGCTACCTATAGTGTAAGGTCTCCATGTGAGTTCACCTCCGAGTGCCCTCTGTGGTTAATGGAGATCTAGTTAATGTGCTCAGAGGGAGCTAGGGAGCATTTCGGCTCACCCTGGATATCTATATTGTTCAGCTGAGCACCTCTTTATAGTACATTGATTCTGCTAATAACTGGAAGTCCATCAGCTAGCAGGAGAGTTGAAAGTTCCCGCTCACGTGGAGGCACCTACCTTCATACATCTTCTTTTATGAAACTCAAGGTTGGATTGAACCTAAATGTTTTACAGTTACATAAAGTCCACTTCAAAACTTAAAACCAAACTTCCTCAAGAATTGAGCTATTGTGGCTAAGCAACCATTTAAAATACATCGTCATGCATCACTAGTACTACTTTGCTTACAGTTTATATTGCCAGTCGCATTTGACGTCTTATCAGAAGTATCATCCAATGTTATACAGAACAAAGTGGTATGTCATTGGAGGCAAAGAATTTGAAATGAAAAGGCTATCTTAATTTGATCATGAGTTCAAAGGAATCAAATAATTTTAAAAGTAACCATATATGAAAATGGGGTTTCTTTGTGTTTCAATGGGGTCTTTTGTGTTTCAATTTCAAAAACTATTTTTCTTGTTCTGTTTTTATCCATAATAGCCATAGAAGAAGTTTTTTGCTAAGAAAGAACAAACATATCTAGGCCAATATTTTTAATGGCAAGAGCTTGGAATTAGACTTCTAAATAGTTTGCTGGATTTTTGAAGTACCAAGCAATTTACAGCTCCTATTCTTATTGGAAGAAGCTAAACAGATGCTTCTGAAATGCTTGTGAAAATCATGTCAAGAATATCCAATTCATTAACTGTTTTTATTGACTTTAGTAGCACCTTAATCAATTGCAAATGGTATGATTTTAAGCCAGGTTTGAAAAGAAAAAACCCTACAACAATCAGCTTTTGTGAAAAAAAAAAAAAAAAAAGAAATTTAAGTTAAAAGTAGAGCTCATTGACCATTAGTCAAAGACTAAGTTCTACTCTGCAAGTTTTTCAGTGCAAACATATTCAGTATCAGTATGAATTAAATTATCCTGTTCTGGAATGGTTTAGCCAGAAACTACATAAGCAAAGATTGTAAAATAAATCAAATTAACAAGCTGTCATAGTATAAACACTTGGTACTATTATTATTATGAGCTGTATTTTCTGGTTAGTTATCTCTTGTGTGTTGTGCTTGGTGTATCATTTCGTAAGGTTCATGTTTAATTTCAGAAGGGATAGTAGTCAGCATCTGGGCAATAAAGGCTCTACGAGGTCCTAGAATTCTGGTGCATCTAGTAGTCACAGTATGAATGTTACTTTTTTCCACCATTTCATTCCCCTTCCAAAAGTGTTGTATACACATAATATTTTGTGTTATGCAAAACTGGTAATTTTAAACTATACCAATTTTGTCAGAATTAGCAGTAGGGCTGTAAATCTTAGTTCCTCCTGGAATCAATTTGTGAGAGGATCTGCAATATGAAGATTATTCTGAATTGAGCCCATGTTATTGGTCATTTTTTGTGTTGCTTCTCATTCTTGCAGAAAAATGAGCAGCCGCAAATGGAGCACAGTCTATTTATGTATCTCTACTTTGTGAACTTCATCATCTTTGGATCTTTCTTTACCCTGAATCTCTTTGTTGGTGTTATTATTGACAACTTCAACCAACAAAAGAAAAAGATAAGTACATTGGTTGTGCTCCCAGGCACCTACTACCTCTCGAGCTTGCTATCTTTAGGGAACAAGGTCCTTGCTATGCATAGAATCTAAAACTTCTGATAGCATTTACAAGAGCATTAGTAATTGATTTAGCAGAAGTAATGCCCAGGGTGAGTTTCTTCCTCCTTTCTTTTCCCCTATAACCTGAAGGCCCAGCTCTTTCCCCACATATTGTCGTGGTTTACCCCAGCAAGCAACCAAGCACCACGCAGCCACTTGCTCACTCCCCCTACCCTGATGGGACGGCACCACGCAGCCACTTGCTCACTCCCCCTACCCCGATGGGACAGTGGAGAGAACTGGAGGAGTAAGAATGAGAAAAACTCCTGGACTGAGATGAGAACAGTTTAATAATTGAAATAAACTAAAATGGTAATGATAATAACAACAATATAATAATGATGATAATAATATACAAAGCAAGTGATGCACAATGCAATTGCTCACCACCCGCCGACCGATACCCAGACAGTTCCCGAGCAGCGATCGCTGCTCCCCGGCCAACCCCCCCCAGTTTCTATACTGAGCATGATGCCATATGGTATGGAATAGCCCTTTGGGCAGTTTGGATCAACTATTCTGGCTGTGCCCCCTCCCAGTTTCTTGTGCGCCTGGCAGAGCATGGGAAGCTGAAAAAGTCCTTGACTAGCATAAGCAGTACTCAGCAACAACTAAAAACATCAGCGTGTTATCAACATTCTTCTCCTACTAAATCCAAAACACAGCACTGTGCCTGCTACTAGGAAGAAAATTAACTCTATTCCAGCTGAAACCAGGACAGTATCCACCCCTTGTTCTATACCATCTACGTCATGCACAGGCCCTCCCCTTTCCAATGCGTTCTAATTAATCACCACCACTTTCCCTATCTTGATATACACACAGATATCATTCCCTTCATCTATGGGCCATCCCTCTAAAATGTCCATTGAGTTCATTTAGCCCATGACTTTGGGTTCCATCTGTCATCACAGTCTTTCAGAGCAGGAGAGGTGGTGTGCAGTGTTGGATTTCTGCATGCCGAAGCCAGTTCTCATTCCAACACGGTTTCATCAAAGTTCATTTTCATTAAGCTGGGCAATTCTTACTGTAATACCATTGATGTGGCATATAGCAACCATAACACATATTGAAGGCAATGACATCTGCTCTGCAGCCCCTTAAAATTTTGCTCCTTTTTGGGAACTGAGCATGACAGGAGACTCATTATTTAGGAAGTCTTGTACAGATGCTCTGAGAAGTATTTTGGATATTCAACAAGACCAGGATGTGGGAAGCCAGGGAAAGATTTGTTCCTGTCCAGGTTTTCCATAGGTCCTTTGTCTTCGTGCTTTCTGAGCTAGCTGGGTTTCACCTCAGGACTTCTGCTCTGTGAATAGATGGTTTGTGCCACTCTGTTTTTTTGGACAGTTATGCATTATGAAAAGGGCTAGTGCCAGCAAGAGGTGAAAAAGGAAGGAATGTTAGTTTCCAGCATTTTAGACTTTGTAACTACAATAGTGCTGCTTTCTCACCAAATCACAGTGATATTTCTTTATATACTTAGGTGGGGAAGATATATTTATGACAGAAGAACAGAAAAAATATTACAATGCAATGAAGAAGTTGGGATCCAAGAAACCTCAAAAACCCATTCCAAGACCACTGGTAAGACTGTCTGAATTCTTCAAAAGGAAAATGCATTGCAAAAGTACAATTTAATACACTGAAAAGTGTGTATGCTTATATATTGCATATAAATTATTTATACTGTCTTTACATTGATACTCAGACAGTGCTCTGAAGTCAATTCCATACAAAAAGTTACACTGAAGGATTTTACAGGTTAAATATTTATTAATTTCTCTGCATAAATATTGTTGGATTTTACATTAACCTTGAAACTGGTTAAACTGCAGGGAGGGAAGAGATTTTTAATGTCATTTTTACATTCTGCCTTTCTCAAATTTCTCTGACTTCACTATAGTTGAGTGACTTTGCAACATAAAAATTGGAGCTGTTGGAAACATGTACGGATGAGTACTCCCTACTTTCATAACTGATGCCAGATGTATTTTTTTCCTCTAGAACAGATACCAGCAGTTCCTTTTTGACACTGTAACATGCCAGGCCTTTGATGTTGTAATCATGATTCTCATCTGCCTTAACATGATCACCATGATGGTGGAAACCTATGAGCAAAGTCAAACGAAGACTAACATCCTTGACAAAATCAATAAGCTCTTCGTTGCCATCTTTACTGCAGAATGTGTAGTCAAATTGGTGGCTCTGAGGCAGTACTATTTCTCAAATGCCTGGAACATATTTGATTTAGTTGTTGTGATCATGTCACTTACTGGTAAGTAAAATCGGTTTGGCAAATTCTTTACTAAATCAATTATTATTCTTTTCAGAAAAAAAGTAGTTAAAATTTATCACCTGCAAATGGATGTTGAAATGGAAATCATAATACTGTAAATTCTTGAGGAAAAAGAACTAAAACCCCCACCATGATTATATTAAAATAATATGAAATAAGATTTTTTAAAATTTATACTATTTTCTTTTACTAAAAGTATTTAAAAAAAAGTGGCTGTGTTATGTAAAGTCTTTCATAATAGTTCTTTAGATTGTTTTTTCCTAGTCTGAAAGACAGAATGAATAATCTGTCATGCCACTACCACATTAGGTGACAATTTCCATTGTTACAGATTTAGTGCCAACTAAGAAATCTTTGATCAGCTAAAAATTGCTGGGTTTTGTCATCTGTGTTTGTAAAGAGAACTGATATATATAGATAATATCAAGACTGGGATTAGATTATAGACTACAGAATTCAGTTTCTGGAAAATCAGGCATGGCTGATTGAAAATAAGTGTTCACACTGTGTAACAGGATAGAAAAGAACACCACAAATGTATTAGCTTTTATTTGAAAGGATTGCAATGGAAGAATGGGGTAAAGACCTCTTCTGCCAATTTGAACTTTCTGCCAATTTAACTATTCCTAGGGCCAGTACTGCCAAAATAGCAGAAAGCATTTAGGGGAAGAAAAATATTTTGTTTCTTTAGTATGACTTATGTTTTGGGTAAGTAAGATTCCGGTAAGAATATGTCTCTTCCTTGAGAAATTAAGTGCCTGGGCTGGAAATTCAAAAAAATGTATCCAGAACGTCTAAATGTAGAAAAATGAAACCTGTTCTAGTGCTACTAGATCTGTCATTTTTTCATGCATACTAAAGATAAAATAAAATCCATGTGTAGCTATGTCCCTGAATGAACTCAAAACCATTGTAGAGTGGCATGCCCAACTTCTATGTTCATCACTGGGTTTGCTTATACATATCTTGACCATATTATCTAAATGATGACCATGATGTTGTTATATCTTGTTTTCTTATCTTAGATTTGTAGTGTCAGTATTTGAAGTCAAATTTAGATGGTAAATACACAACCTGCACCTGCTGAAGTATTCATGCTAACCAGTGTCAAAGAAAACCATCAGTCAATGAGTGTCGACTGATATGGGTATTTGAAAATGTGCATAGAAAGGTGTTTGCCTGCCTTAGTGCAACGAGTACTGTCTTCTGGTGGCTGAAGAATGTAGTTCATAATTGCTGATTTCTACAGCTATTTTTTCAACTCTAGCTTCGATTACAAGTTATTCTGCTAGGGCCTTAGCACACATCAGATATTTTTCAACTGTACAGGTATTATCACTTCTAGTTAAAATTAGTTTAAAGTAAAGTTAAATTTTAAGTTAAACTCTAGTTTAACTTGCTAGTTAAGTGGAAATGTGATATTCTAACCAGTTGTTACCCTTTCCATTTTAGCCTTACTGCTTTCTGGCATTGGTAAAGCATTTGAACATTTCTTACCACCTACACTCTTCAGGGTCATTCGCTTGGCTCGTATTGGACGAATACTGAGACTCATCCGGGCTGCCAAAGGAATTCGAACTCTGCTTTTTGCGTTAATGATGTCCCTTCCCGCTCTGTTTAACATTGGCCTCTTGCTTTTTCTGGTCATGTTCATTTATGCTATTTTTGGCATGGCTAACTTTGCCTATGTGAAGATGGACGATGGCATTGATGACATGTTCAACTTCCAAACCTTTGCTAACAGCATGCTCTGTCTCTTCCAAATCACAACGTCAGCTGGCTGGGATGGTCTTCTCAGTCCTATTTTAAACACTGGGCCACCATACTGTGATCCAAACATAAGTGGTACTATAGGCGAATGTGGTAAACCTGCCATAGGTATTATTTATTTTGTAAGTTACATCATTGTATCATTTCTCATTGTTGTAAACATGTATATTGCTGTTATTCTGGAGAACTTCAATGCTGCTACAGAGGAAAGTGCAGAGCCTTTAGGGGAAGATGACTTTGACATCTTTTATGAAATCTGGGAGAAGTTTGATCCTGAGGCAACTCAGTTTATAACTTTCTCTGCACTTTCAGACTTTGCAGATTCTCTAGCTGAACCTTTACGCATACCAAAACCAAACAAAGTTCAACTCATAGCAATGGACCTGCCTATGGTCAGTGGAGATAGAATCCACTGCTTGGATATCTTGTTTGCTTTTACCAAAAGAGTCTTAGGAGATTCTGGGGAGCTGGATACTCTTAAAGTACAAATGGAGGAGAAGTTCATGGCTGCCAATCCATCCAAAAAATCCTACGAGCCAATCTCCACTACTCTCAGACACAGACAAGAGGAAGCTTCTGCCACTGTCATCCAGCGTGCCTACAGGAGTCATTTGCTCCTGCGCTCCATAAAGCAGGCTTCTTACCTGTACCATCACAGAACTTGCAGTAGTGACACTCTTGGAGGTGTTGCTCCAGAAAAAGAAGGACTTATTGCATCTATGATGGGAGAAAACTATGGTAGGAGTCCTGACAAGTCTGAAACTTCATCCTCAGCATCCTTTCCTCCATCATACAACAGTGTCACGAGAGCCAGTAGCAGCAATCTCATGGTTGAGAATGGAGAAATTACAGGTAATCAACAATCTCCAGACACTAAATAGTTCATCAGTGACAATGTTGTTAATATTTTAAAATGTTCACAGAACCTGATATTGTAAATACACATCACCTGAGGCAGCCTCCCTCTTAAACAAGGTCTGTTGATCATGATCAGTTAACTGTAGTTAGATATGATCACTCAACTGTGGTAGCTGCTAAACCATAGCCTTTGGCTCTGTTATGTTCAGCTTTGTTCAGTATTTACATATGCACAGACAAAAAGCTGTGAAAAGTTTTGGATCTGTTTGATCAAGGGCACCCCACTGCAAAGCAGGTCCCACAGTACCCGAGTGCTGCGTCGTATTCACAGCAGTGACAGAGAATGCCTGCTGGTGTTATCCCTGGTGCGAGAAGCAGAGAAAAGCTCAAGCAGCAACGGATCTGCTGGAGAACAGGAAAAGAATGTCAGTGTTAAGATAAATTGCTGAAGGGAAAGGAGCTAAAATTTACCCTTAGTCCATTCCTAATTAATACTCTCATTATAAACCTGTAAAGCAAATGGCTGCTGGTTGGTTAGGGGTTTTTTTTTTATGTTTGGGGACTGATGTACCACAAACATAGCCACTGCATGATCTGCAGTTGTGCCACAGTGTAGTGGACTTCTTCCAATATGATCAATTTACCTAATAAGTCATGGCATGTATGCTGTTGTTGTTTTACTGCAGCTTGATGAAATAATAACTACAACTCTTACTATTACAGAAATTGTACTGAGCTGAGTAAAACCTTGCTTTATATTTTGTCTGTGATGATTTTTTTTTTTTAACCCAGTTTCCTCTGGCAGCGAGGAGAAGGCAGCCGTGCTGTGTGTCTGTCAGTCACTCCATAACAAATTGTGTTTATTACATACTTTCCTCAAACTTCACAGAATGGTTAAGTTTCAGGCTCAAGTTCATTCCGGCCAATGTGGTAGAGAAGAGAGACACAAATAAGCATTTCCACTGGGGGGAAATTGGCAGCATCACTTCAGATTACATCAGAAACCCAGGCTGGGGAGTGCCACATGGGCCCCATCTGAGCTGCCCTTGGTTGTGGTGCTGAGTGTCATCCATGGCCATGGACTGAGGCCTTGACTTAAGGTAGATGTGTCCCATTGGTGGTAGGAGCCTTTCCTCCTTCTTCCTGTGCTTCTTTGATGGGAGGACCTGTTGTCTCTTTCCTGCAAAGGTTAGAAGAAACCAAAGTACGAGCAGTGTGGACAATTAGGAAATCTGGGTTGAAGCATTTGGGTCTGAGGTTAACATAAGACTAAGGATGTAATCATAAACTCTACTTCTCATAAAACTATGTGTCTCTCACAATCCTCACCACATTTTCCTTATAAAGTTCTTTATCTTTCTTCATGTCCTTACTATCTTGGGCTTCTCAGAAAAACACATGCCCAAACAGTACTCAGTCTTTTGTCCTTTGTACATGTACTTTGGAGATACCTCCAGCTGATGCACTTTGTTGTCCAAGATGCTTTTTATTTTTCTTAGTTGCAAGGTTGTAGCTGTGTGGCCACTGTTGGGTTTGGTAGGTTCTGTCAAGGCGTGGGTAAGCTTTTCCCTCCGCACTGATTTCAGTCAGAAAGGAACACGGGGTTTGCAACTGAGTGGGACCTGCTGTACACTTTGTTTGCAACCTGCAGTAGGTTGCCTACTCTCTTCAACACCCCTTCTCTACGGTGGCAGTTATATGTTCTCTCTTGTGTCACTTTCTTCTTCTCCTGTCTTTTTCACCTCTTCAGACTGTGAGCTTTTTGGACAGAAATCCTCTCTTACTATGAATGGTAAATTACACCTAATAATGAGACTCTGTTTTCAGTTAATACTGTCTGAACACTGATTGCAAATAAATAATATTTATAATAGCTTTTAATTTTAATTTCCTCTGTGGTATTCCCTTAGCTTCTTCTAGCCATCATAGCATCTTTAATTAGTTTTGACTAATACTCCCTCAAATTTTAAGGTAGGTGCACAGTGAATCTGCTTTATACCAGAGACAACAGCTCTGTGCCACTGGAACCCAGGGGACCCTATTCCTTCACACTAAAAATAAAACTAACAGTTAAAAATAATTAATAAAATGAAATGGTTTTAGTTGGCTAAAATGGCTTGTAAAACACTCACTCAGTTTGTGACCCACCACAGTTCAGGAGTTGACTACATGGCACTTGTGAGATAGTGTTTCCCAGCTCCAGCCTGTCCGATGTCTGCCTCCCATGATGTGCAGAGTCCATCACGAAGCAGTAACGAGCTGCACGCACTGTTCTCATCGTTTTGGGTGTGCACTGAACAGTCCTGACATCGCATCCTCTCAGGAGATTATGTATTTAAACACATCCATACCCAAAGGTAGTGCAACTCATCTTTGCCTCTTTGCGTGTCAGGAAGGGGTACTTGTGAATGTGAGAATAGTTTATTGACAGTCAGCTACATGTAAACCTCGCTGAAGTCCATCTGTCTGGGAAGGTCACCCTGAGGCTGAGTCAGAGATGCACCAGTGCAGGAGATCAGATGCAAAAGATCATTTGGTGCTCTAAGTGAATTGTTTATTGGTGCAAGAAATGTCAAGTACCCCCTAGGGTGAATTTTAACTTCTGCAGGAACCCTTCTGAGTAAAGGTGATATCGTTTTGGGGCAAAACAAGTCCCTTGCCATGTTCTTTAATCCTTCTGGTTCTCCTCTGAACCCTCTTAATTTTGGATCATACTGATGTCCATACTAAAATCCTAGTTTCCTGTGATGGCTGTGTGGCATAGTCTTGTTTTCAGATGGATTGCTGTCCTTTTTGGTCATACTGCTTGCCCACTTTTAGCCACTGTTCTGAGACCATTGCATTAACAGACTGGTCTCTTCAACGGTAACCTCTTCCATAATCTATGGATCACTTACATATTTTACCCCAAATTATTGCGTTTATAAAGAGGTTATTAATAGAGACAACAAAAACGTGAGGGCTGAGAGCTCTTCCCTTTGACAGCCCATGAGAAATACCAGCTCAATAACATGATGTTTTTGTCTATTCCTTTGATAGTGATGTAGCACAACAAATATAGCAATGAAGGACATAAGAATACCAGAACAACTGTACCTCTCTGTAGTGGGCTTGATTTCATTACCTAAAGCACACACATTTTTCACAGGAAATCGAAGTAATGGAAAGGCCTTGAATATTTGCACTCCAGTCAAAAGAGCTAAAGGGGGGGGAAAAAAGGACTATGTGGAACTAACCAATAAAAAGCCATTTTCTTCAGCAAAAGTCAGGGCCTGTAGGATAAGCTAGACTGACTTTATCATTGAGACAATCATTAATGGGACCATACTGATAATTTAGTTCAGTGTTTCTCAGCTCTTGGGCAAATCGACGGAGCTGTATGGCATGGAACTCCTATTGCACTTTAAAGATAAGTGAAGTTTTTTCCTCCCATTTTCCAGTTACCTTTGCAATTCAACAGCTGTGAATTAAAACTGGATCAAGTGCAGAGAAGCAATACTAGAATGAATAACAAACTATGTTATGAAAAGAGATTCAATTTTAGTTTGTTCAGCCTAGAAATAACAGCTGAGAGGATACATCATAACTCTCAGTAAATAAAGAAGGTGGGAAAAGACACGTGATGGAGAAAAATGCTTAAAACACAAATAGAATAGTCAGCAAAAAAACAACCCTGGAAATTATTAGTGACTTCTCTCCTTCAGAGGATGGAGTTGTGAAACCACTTTGCAGCAGGAGCAGAGGAGCCAGTCTGACCAGAAGGCGAATATTTATACATTTCTTCAAGGGATCGTGTGCCATGGCACTTTCAAGGGGATCTGTGACCCAGCAGGCTCCTTGGTTCCTGCTCAAAACTCTTTGAATTTAATGAAATTAAGACTGGGATTTGCAACAGGACAGTGAAACTTGTTGAATGCTTCCTCCTAGTGGTTTTAGATCAAAATGACATATTCAAAGTGCAAACAAAAGTTAGGGCCTCTATCTCAACTATAGAGATTGAAACCTAAAAAGATAAATAACTGCCTTAAAAAGAAGCATTAGCAGCAAGCACAGAGCTTAGAGGGTGTGGGAGAAAGGGTTGTGCTAAAAGAATGCTCCAGTTTAAAGGTCAGAAAATGAAATGAGAGAGAATTTCCAGTGTAATTAGACCATGAATAGGAAGCTGAAACAGTAATAAATAACACATTGGCTATATAAGGAACAAGAAGAAAAAATAAAAAAGATGTGCGATTGGCTTAAAATGGGGCAGGGATGAGGTTTTGGACAGCTTTAGGGTTAAAGATAACATATCTATATATATGTGATAAAAAGCAGGTAAATAGTCTTCATTCTTAGTGAAGAAGATATTCAGTATGGGATTGTATTTTCCTTGGCTAACAAGAAATGTTTGAATGGAAATGTGAGTACCTGCACAGATGAACACAGAAGGGAATTAAAGCAATGGAGTCAGGGGCCAGAATAACCCCTTTTCAAAAATACTGTTGAGAACTGGCACATGAAACTGCAGATCTGTCAGTAAGGATTTTGTGAGAATCTGTCAAATCAGGAAACATAGCAGGAGAGAAAAAACAAAATCCACAAAATCCAACCCAAATGAAATACTTGTATTTGAAAAGGAGGTAACAAGCAATTCAAGCAATCAGAGACTTGCTAATCTGAACAGAGCACGTTGCAGAGCTGTGGAACACTTTTTGAAGGAGAAATAATGAAAGACTTGAAGGAAAGTGGAAAATTGAATAAAATATATTTGAAATCTATTTATTAAGAAAGAAGAATGTGGTAGATCTGGATGAAGAACTGGTATTCCGATAAACAAAATGTAACAGAGCAGAGCATAAAGTCCTCTGCTGGGGGCCAAACGGGGACATTTGCTACCAGGTGATTGAAACAGCAGAGCACTGCGAAGACCTGGATAAATTACTGAAACAGAATGGTTGTGATGGGTAATGTGATGTAATCATGAAACAAAGAAAAGCAAGTGAAGATCTGTCAGC